TGTGCGTGTGGAGGAGCCCCCTCCTGCGCAGGTAGCTCAGGAACCCGGGCTGGATGCTCACATACCGCGTCTATTTTAGCAGGTTTGCTGGCGTACATTGGCACACCAACGTGCAACAACTTGGAAGGGGCGTTAACAAACCTCCTGGTCAGCAATTATCACCTCTGGAAAACGCATCTGGGACTCGCTAAAAGAGAGCAAGACTGGCTTTATGGGAGCAGGACCGCTTGTCCTTCCTCCTCTAGTATCACTTCGGTAAAGTTTAGCTCCTAAATTGTTACTGCCTTTTCGGCCATCGCCGCTTTCCACTGACATGATCAAATTTTGGTTGTTGATTCCTGTCAACTCGTGACGCCTGCCCGGTAGCGGGGCGATCCCAGCACAGACAAACGCAGATTTTGAAATTTCTGTCCCCTGTGAGGCACTTCGCTGGCTGCCGCGAACGCAGTGCCCGCGGGCTGGGTGCATCCTTCCGCTGCCAACAACATGGAAATACCAAGAAAGGGGGATTTCTCTAAATGGCTCTAGTTGAAATAAAATTCTAGTGATCGGTAGGAAATATATATGGGTTAAGTGTCGCTAACGGTAATCGGCGGGTCCTGCAGCGGGCTACACCTCCCCTGATGCTGAGCACACGCCTGCCGGCTCTTCAAAATGTTTTACCGAAATGTAAAAGATGCGGGTGATAGAAAAAAAAAATATGCCAGCGAGCTGCTGCAGATAGAACACATCAACGATTTAGGGTTTATTATTTCCAAAATCTTCTTCGGTGTTTCTAAATACATGTCTTTTCTTCGGTATCTTAGCTAGCGAGGGCCGTATCTTGTCGTCAATGCTAAATCAATGGCGTAGCCTGACCTTTAAGAGGGCTATATCCTTTATTCGAAACAGGCGAGTTGAAAAAGAAAGATCTGTGAAATACAGCTTCGCCGGGGAAAGAGGCATTTTTCACACGAATTCTGTTTTCTGCAAACTGTTAAGTAGACCCTCGCAGACTTGGCAGAAGTCGGTCCGGGAAGCAGCCGCGTCTCACACGACCCTGCGCCTCCTTGGAAGCGGCTCACGGGCTCGAAGACGGCCAAGGTGCCAACTCCTAATTGATACGTTGAGGCGAAGCTCCCAACGTAATTGCTTTTAACATTCATTTATGCAAAGCGGCTTCG